AAACGACCAAAAGATTTGTGAAACATGGTGTTTCTGATAAAAAAGAGAATGAAATAAGTAAAAATGGTATTGAATGTATGTCAGAAAAAATAAATTCTTTGTTGTTGAGTTTGCATACACTTCATTTTTAATGCCATTCGACTGCCGTAACAAAATATGAAATGTACTCATTAACTATTCAAGCCAATTTATATTGAATAATTTATTTAAAAAGAAAAATGATTTTCAGAAGTAAAAACCGCATTTATTTATAATTGTTCCCATACTTTAAGTTCATCATGGCAAAAGATCGCATTTCAAAAACTTAAATGTGCAATGCCAACGAAACTACATTCTTTGTATACTTCCATGCCCAGAAAATTCTTTTGACAAACTGATGATTTTTGATTTCGTTTTTGAATTTGAAAAAAAAAACAGTACCATGCAAAAAAGCGAAATTATTACGCCTAAGATGGGATCTATGGGTTTTCGCTAAAGATAGCTTTCAAAGCAATATCACGCGCATAATTTCTAGACGAAATTTTAGGTGTTCAGCGAAGAAAAACAGGTGTTTCGTTATTAATTCAGACAACAATTTTGGCAAAATTATATATTCATATTAACTATTCTATACTTTAAATAAACACAGTTTGTTTATGAATTGGGTGTTTAATGGCAGATATTCCAAAATTGATGTAGTTTTTTGTGATTATACAAATAACATGTGATTTCCAAGTTCGTATACAGCAGCGATGTGAATCAAACACAACACAAAATAAAATAAATAATTGTTGTTATTATTGGATAGGGAACATTTTTAGGCTAAAAAAGGGGAACGAATTAATGTCAGACAATATATTTGGATTTTGTCATCTGGATATTTCAGCTCATCTGGATAACGTTAGGTGATGATACGAAATGAAAACAATAGAAGTGATTATTATAGTTATGGTAGTATTTTTATATCTATACAATACAACAGTCACTTCTATTGTTTTCACTCCCTATCATCGCCTTACGTTATTCAGATGAGCTGAAATATCCAGATGACAAAATCCAAATATATTTGTCTGATGTCTGGCTCAAGGATAGGTTTTATCACTTGGTTATGTTTTGCAAAATTGGAGGATAACTCAAGAAGAACAAAGTTGCTCTACGCCCACTTTACCCTATTGATAGGAAAGGGTAAGGGACAAGTGCAAAATGGGCATAGAGCAATTTTGTCCCTCTTGAGTTTCAATAGTTCAAATGGATGCAATTCCCAAGAAAATGTTTGAATTCCTTTTGAAGAAATGAATTCTTTCAATTGACCTACTGACACGATATGCTGGGGATATCAGGGAAAATTTCAAAGAAAATATTTAGAAAAACAAAAAATATGGATTTGAAGAATGCCGCGGCATTCATTATCTATTATCTACTGCAATTGTATTCCATAGACTGTATGCAATGCAAAATTGTAGCACAGCTAGTGTCACAGGCAACTATGGAGTTCTAGTGCTTTCACTAGTTGGCGGCAACTTAGTATAGATTACACTGAATTCCATCGTGACGTTAGCTGTGTGACACTTTGGACATACTTTCGGTACGTCTGATACAGAATCACGTTTGTATTGCTTCATGAATACCATACACGCAGATAGCAGCGGCAAATATACAAATATGTACTTTGTACATTTGTATAGCTAAAAATGAAAACGACTTAATGAATGTCAGTCCAAGCAAGAGCGGGCGATGAGATTCCTTAAGTCCCTTTTATTATCGGCTAAGTTCAAATTTAAGGATAATATAACAAAAAAAAATGAATTGTGATAGATTTTTGATAGTGTGTACTTGTGGTAAGCGTTTATCACAGAATAAGTAAAATATGAGTGCGATCTGTGCATCATAATACTAGACATCAAACGCATGGTGTCAAAGTTTTTTGGTAGATTTCACTTATTATAGTAAACTATCATATGACAGGCTCAGCGGAAACAAACAACTTGAAAAATATTTTCGTAAAAGACAAATAGGAAAATACATTGCCAAAAGAACGCACAGAAATATTCTGAGCTCAAAAAAGAAACAAATTAGTATTGAGCGCAAAAGTAAACAGAGCAAAGGGCAAACAAGTAGGCTTATTACACTTTTCGCTCAATATTCATTTGTTTCTCTTTTGCGCTCAGACATTTTCTGTGCGTACTTTTTGCAATATATTTTTCAATTTGTCTTTTACGAATATATTATTCAAGTTGTTTGTTTCCGCTGAGCCTGTCATTTATCAAAAATTTACCATATTTATTTTATTCTGTGTGGGACTAAACTGTGGTTCTAAAACATTAACCTGTCTGAGGTACGGTCTAGACTTTTACCATAGGTGTTGAGGGGAATTGTTTTTATAGAATTGGGAGAATCCAAATGGTTCAATTGTGAACTTGTACGGAGTTGAAATGGGGATACATGGTGTTGGGCTTCAATCTTCACATTTATTTCATTTAAGTGTACCATGGACAGATTGTAATGCACCGCATGCCGACGTTGACAATTGAACTATATAGGAGCAAATCTCAAATTTTGTTTTAGTGCTACTTTTATGCTACTTTTTTTTCTTCTCAAAAGCCTTATATACACACAAGAGATAAACCCAACAAATTATTATAGAATTCCTATTAAAAAATGAATTTGTAAGGTTTCCTTATAAAAACGCAATATTTTAACGGGAATCCTAATAAATTGGCGCGCCCAAACATCAAATCCAACTTCAATGAATTGAAACAAAACATGTTTTATTATTTATAGGTTTCCTGATAAAATGTTCTCATATTATAAGAAAACCTTACAAATTAATATTTTAATATGAATCCTAAAATGATTTGTCTGGTTTATTTCTTGTGTGTACCTTAATGATTTTTGAGTTTAACTTGTTATGGATGAAAAGCATGTTACTATTATTAATTATATAATTTTTTGTAATTATGTTTTTGTGTATTATCTAATTGACAACTAATGAGAATGTAAAGAAAAATTTAATGAATGGAGAAAAACGTCAACGTAACTCAAAGATTGTCATGAGGACTAATAAAAACTTATATACCATTTAGAAACGAATTTTTGAAAAAGATATACACGACATGAACGTACCATGCAAAAAAAACAATGAAAATGTCAAAAAATGAAACGAAAATGTTGAGCACATTTATTTTTAATTTGTTTCAAATGGATAAAGCGGATTGATTTGATAGAAATAAGTATGAAATTTCAAAATGTGGAAACAACGTTGTGCAACACAATGAATAGACATAAACATGCATCATGAAAAATGTTCTCGAAATCAGTAGATATTGCTACTATAACAAATATTTCAAGATAGCTCTCATAACCGTTAATGTAAGCTTATAAAATTTGGATTTAATATTATATTAGTTAAAAGGTTTTGCTTTCAAACATTTTTACTTTGTGTGTTTATTAGAGGGAAAAAACAGCGACTCCCCATCGAAGTTACTTAAAAAAGCCTTTTAACTCTATCCAAGTGTCAATAATATTTGAATAGTTTGTTTAGTATACATCAGAAAAAGAAAAAGTTTGCTATTTCCTCCACATATTCGTCAATAAAAAGTTATCTGTCCGATATTAACTAATTAAAATCATTTTTTCCCCTTTTTGATCATTCTTTTTTATTCAAAATGCGAATGTTTTCAACTCATTTGTATATTTTATGTGTGTAATTTATATTTGTTCAGCAGATGCACAGATTATACTGATTTTTTGTTCACATCGGTTTCTGAATTTCTACTATATACATAAGAAAATGTTGTTACAAAAAACCGGTCGAAATTGTATATAAAATACGCAAATCAAGATACATTGCCGTAAGAAAGTTCGACCACTTTTTACAATAATTCATTCGATTGTCTAGAATTTTTATGCATTCAAACTCGAAAGTGGCCGTTTTTTCATGAATGGATTTTTCACTCAAACTATTCTCACACTTTTTACCCAAACTTTAGTATTTTTTGAAAGAACAGATTAAATTATTGACTTTTTTTGGTTTCGAATGACATAATTTCATTAAAATTGAGATGATCTTAAACTTTCTGACGACAGTATACAATTTTTTTTTTCTGTAAATTTTCGAAAGACAGCACTTTGAATCTTTATGCATCGGTGGTTGGAAGCTGACTCTTAATGCGTGCACCCATTAGCTGCCCATAAGGGTTATGTTTCTATTTGAACACGTGACAATAAGGTATTTTGTAAACATTTTATTTAAATTTTATTGTCAATGTTTTGACAATTGTGCAAATTATAGTGAAAATGTGATAGCTCACTTCAATATCGAGCTTAAGATCAACACTGGCTCCGTGTCTAACTTCTAGGTGATTGGTGCTAAAATTGTGGAGTGTAAGATAAATGACACAAATTCTACTTATATGATTATATGTTTACCACGGGAGTGTACCATACTAAATTCCATAAGTAGAGAAATGTGAATTATAGATTGTTGTTTTTGTTTAATTTTTGAATTTCTAAAATCAAAATTCACGACTAATGCCGCTTTCTCTCATAAATACCGAGTCAAACGGCTTCGACTGTTAACATCAGCAACTCGAATAAAACAAAACTTGATGAAGACGATATTATTTATATTTTTAGACGTAGGTCATATCGTTGCATGCATCAATGGACGTGAATTTCGTTCATTGAATCCGAATCAAAACGATGAAATACAAAACACAGTACAGGACTCATTGACATTGGCAACTTTTAATAGAACACTACTAAAAGGGAATCTGTTGAATAATTATAAAAAGAATAGGAAGGGTTGCTCATCGGGCGGTTACAATTTTTTTTTTGTTAAATGCAGAAATTTGCGAACAGTAATTAACGACGAATGTCTTTCGATGGATTTAAAATTGAATTAATTTATATAAGTGAAATAAAAAAAAGAAAAAACTAGATTATGTGATCAAATGTGCTTAATAAAAAGGTTCCAAGAAATGACAAGAAATAGTTTACAAAATGATAAAAATTCGAACAACTTCAGTTTGCTGTATATAATATTTATTATAAATTACGCTTGTTAAAGTGACAACATGTTACTAAGTTTTAATGCTTTCTTTTATTCGGTAAAACGAACTAACTTCTTTCAAGAGCTCTTACTACCTATAGTAATATTGCACACACCATTTATTATCTAAAGCGTTACATTTTCGTATATTGGTTCCTTTTATAAAAACACCAGTGTAAACTACAATACACTATTGCCATTGTGTGTGTTTTGTTGTTGTTGTTGTTCATTTTCGATTTTTCATCAATACAATTCATGACTTAATTCATATAGTTTTTTTTTCTTCTTTCACATTTAAGAAATATTACTCTCAAAAATAAATTCGTTATGTCTACCGTTAAAGAATGTTTAACTATATTTTTGTTTGCATATACGGTTACAAAAAAGAATACACCAGCTGCACAATCTAGAAACTTAATTATTCACTTGTTTTTGTAGGAATTTGTTAGAATTAATTTATGTTAACTACAAAAAAACAATGCAGATTATCATGTAGCACTTGATAAAAAAGAAATCTTAAAATCTGTGGCATATATTCAAGTCATACAGATGATTCGACTTCGAACAAAATAGTATACGCATCTATTTGCACAATAATCCCAGTTGAATTTGTTTTCGAATAATGTATGTGTGCATATATAGATAGATTGCACCATTTTGTTCGCAACCGAACAAATTATTATCAAATAATACCCAGATTTTTCGATTCGTCAGAGGTGGATTGGAAATTCTTCCAAATCTTACTAATTCAGATGAATTCCTTTTGTTTGCATGAAAAAATTGCTTGATCGTGGCACATAGTTTTTAATCAACAGGAGAAAAGTTTTTTTTTTGTTCCATTGTTTAATGAATTTTGTTAATTTTTTGCATAATCGTATTACTCATAAAAATAATAACCGATATAATCTTGCTGCTGATTGTGAACATAACAAATGTGTGCTGGAATTTTTCGATCGTTCAAAATTTCGATGAATTGAAGTATAAGTATATAATCAAATTGCCGCACCGAATCAACCTATTACAATTAAAATAATAAATATGTTGTATTTTATCGTTTACAATTTTATTCTCAATTACTGGCATTTTGTAACGCTAATTTTATTCACTTTATATGGTTGAGTCAGTGAAATGTCTGATTGCTAGTCAATTGATGTAATTTGTGGTATTATCGTGGCATTTTAGCCAAAATTCACTTGGCTCATACGGTTATGACACCCATTTATACAATATTCGAGATTAAAAGAGCAGTTCAAGACACGTCCATTAAATTTTTTCGAACATTTTTAGAGCTACCCATGTATCAATCCAATTGGATGATTTGAGATTTTCTGACAAATTGAAAAGAAACAAAAAATGATCACTGTGTTCACACAAAAAGAAAATATGATCGTTGTGATTGAATACGTATGTTTATCAAAATGAATTTGACCTGCACAATTTCATATATTGAATGAATTGTGACCATGGTAGGTAAGTGTTGAGTTTATTTGTTTTTATTTAATCGTTTTCATAATAGATTAATATTTATTGCAATTAAAGCGTGAACATCGTTGTATTCACAATGTTCTATATTGTACCACATTTTCATAAAACACATATATTTTTTTTGGACAAAGACTCTATGTATATGAAACGGACTTTTTATGAACAAGAATTTCATAGATCTATTTAAATAGTTGTGTTTATGAATGGTTTAACCATTTTAATAAAATAACAACTATTCTGATAGCTCCAGAGAATCCCTGATTATGAAAACAAAAATTAAGAACACGCACGCACACGCAAACACTCACACGATATTTTTTTTTTCTTTTCTTTTCCGAAAAAGGCGTTATTCAATTTCTCTCTCTAGTACTTAATTTAGAAAATGATTCATTTTATTTTATTTTTATTTTTTTGCACAAGTGATAAAGTGTATGGCTCGGGAATCTATTACAGCTATCAAATAATGAATGGACAAGAGTAATTGTCAATGAAAAATAATAAATTTATTGAACAATTAACACTTGAAATGACAGCGATACGCCTTGCTTGAACCGAGTGTAAAATAAAAATGAAGTGAAATTCATAGTTTCAAGGATTCAAAGTACAGACTGCAAACGAATTGTAATTTATATTATAATAACTTGTATGCATTCAGATTGTTCCTTATGATTTTCTTCTCTGGTCATTTTGTCATTAAATCTATTTTGTTATTCTCGCTGAATAAAAAATGTTATTTTGAAACGAATGCAGTTTTCTAAAATGGATTTTATGGAACGCACTTTATAAACTGCATATTAAGATTTGAAGTCATGTAACAATGATGAAAACCCGGGCAAAAATGATGAAAATCAGGGCAATTCAATACAATGCAATCATACTTTATTGGAATAAACATATAACAGATGACTATTGAAAAACTGTCAACATTTCAAGAAAGTACACATCAATAAATAGAGTACCATAGGCCGTAATTAAAAATAGTGTTACTCATATTTGGTTTATGATCAAATTCAAGACGGCGGCAATTTTTTGCGCTAGAATTTTTAAGCTCTTTCTTAGTTCAAATCAATTTACAGATCAATATGTTCATCGAAATGTTCCGAAAAACAATTCGCTTTTCGATAACCGGATCGTCACAAAAAAAAAAGATGAATTCAATTTGAAATAATTTGTTTCAGCGAAAGTAACAAAATAAATTTTGTACCTTTTCACTCCCAGGAAATAGTGGTGGTTGATCAAAATTGGATCCTCTCAATTAGAATTTGATGTGTGGTAGCTTGTTCTTGAACCGCAAATATATGTCAAGTACAGCGATTAAACGCTGTCTACCATTCTCGTATAAAAGTATCTATTGTTAAACATTGTTGATTGGTCGGAGCCAATGTTGTTTCTACGATGAAAAAAGAAAACTCACCATGAAAATGGGAAACTTAATGTAATAAATTGAAGAGTCATTAGTCTTCGTCTCTTTGTTATCTTTTATGTATATATTTTTTTTAATCTCTTATACTTATCATATATATATAATATCTATACTTATTTTTTTCACATTTTTCATGTTGTTACTGGACCATTAATTGTATTATGATGAATATTATAATTCTAGTTTGTCAAAACATCAAAACATAATGCTAGACATACCTTTCCATTAATCCATTTTATAGTTGTACGATATTGTTTTATTCGTTTAAAATTGTAACTCGTGTGTAATTTGTTTGTATTGCATGTGTGTGTGTGTGTGTGTATTGATTTATGTGTGTTTATTTTTATTCATTATTTTATTTTATTTATTTATTTTGCAAACATTCTTCATTAGTAAGTTGTTAATTATGCTTAAATTTATGAATTATGTATCTAAAATCGTTGATGTTTTCAACAATTGTAAATTTATTTTCATATTTGTCAAAAAATACGAGAATAAAAGCTCAAACCATAAACGTAGTTGTGATACTAGCTAGATTCATACGATGAAATATTGCAAAACAAGTAATATTGCACATTAAGTTCTATTACCCATTTATAGATTTGTTTTCTTGATGTAGATTTTTATTGTTGTTGTTTTTTTTTGTCCTTCTTCTTAGATAATTCGGCATTCATTTCCGTTTCATGATTAATCGTGTTTTATTTATTCCTATGTTAATTTACTATGTCCATTTTTGCTTTAATTATCATTTGGAATAGCACCAATGTATTAATTCACTATCACAATCGTGTTGCTAATAATTTTTTTCTTTTTTTTTTTGTCGTTTAATTACTTTTTTTGTTTCTTTTTCATACTCTTTATTCGCATTGTTTTTTTTTTTCATTAAGTTCGGATTGAGACATGTTCACTTAACAATTTATTTGTGTTCATTAACCTGCATTTTGTGCCTTGAATATTATCGCTTTTAAATATGAGGTTATTTTCATATCGTATTTATCAAAAAGCCAACCCAACAATTCAATACAGTAAAATGAGTTGAAAGAAAAAAATGGAAATTTACCAGTCATTTCAAGAAAGAGCCCATCTTAAAGAGTTTTCGAAACATGCATCACATACATAATAATGTATAATGGACAAAGGTTGTGCGCAATTTTATGCGTAAACAACATGGAGTTTAATAAGCTTATACACAAATTAGTACGAAGCGTACCATTCCCGATGTAATTGTCAGTGTTTTGAATAGAACGACGTGATTTTCTTTCTGTAAACTGATGATCACTGATTTCTCATTTTGATATTAACAATCAGTGGAATTATGAAAAAAAAATATCAACGAAACCTCTCTGAATTGCTTAAATTTGAGTCCATTTAGTCCACGATATGGTTCATAGACAGATCATGGTAAATAATAATTGCAATTGCATCACTCCAAATGTTTGTTTTTTTTTCATTTCCACGTAAAGCCACCTCAATGTATACACCTCAAGTTATAATGGTTGTAATTCACATTTATAAAACTGATTAGACTTAATAAAAAAAAAACTAAAAACTTTCGTAAACTAATAGCAATTGTAAATATGATTTTAATAAAAAAAATGCCATATCGTAATCAAGAAGTTATATCGATTCTTTCCGTATAAATAATAATCGTTTAGTTAGACATTTTTGTTTTATAAATGCACAAAAATTAAATAGATAAATGCAAATTCGGATAAACGTTTAACATAAAAGAAGCAGAAAATGTGTATGACATGCACATAACTATTTGTACGGTACAATAACGTCAAAAAGTTTGTAAAATAGTCTAATCAGTTAAAGAGAAAAAAAAAGTTTTATCCCCAATAGATTTACGAAAAAAAAAAAATTATTGAACTTTGAAGTTTTTTTATATATTCGGTTTGCACCAGCGTGTGCATGCGTTCCATTTATGGAAAGATGTTGATTTTTACACACAAAAAAACGAGATAGAATAAAGAACATTTCTTAGCCAAAGTATATATAATTCGAATATTGCGATTTGATACTAAGAAACAGAATGTGTGGCAATCCACTGTGGCAGTGGTGGTACGTTTCTTTTTAAATTTAAATACTTCGATTTCTCAAATGTAGAGTTGTGCAAATATTTATGTCATATCTATGCATATTAATACGGAGCGCAAATGATCCATAGAAATGTCGACTGACAATATCGAAGTTCGCTGGTGAATTCAGCAATTTCCATGGTTTTTCTTATATTTTTAATATTTGAATTACATTTTTGCTTTTAAAACTTGCTCCGATATGCTTACATTATTATTGAAAGCTGCCACGATATCTGCATACGCACGTCTTCCATATAATGAATGTGCTTGCATGTTGCGGGTGCGTGCACGCAGCATTAATAGGATAAGTGTATCCAAGCAACCAAAAAACGAACAGATACGTTTTTTATAAAGAAATTATTGGCGTATTCTCTCTTTTTTGTTATCCAAACAAAATGTTCGAAGAGAAGAAATATTTCGATGACAAAATTGAAAATGTTCTGCGTTGAAGAGGTTGCTGAATTATGTGTAAAGGTAGACTATTTTTGCGCTGATCTAGTTAAAAAAAAGTATATATATTTCGAAATGAGATCTTAAAGCCCGTGATAAATATAAATCGGTGCAAATGATTTTCGTTCCTTTCGTGACCAAGTATTTTCTTATTGTGAGCAAGATAACGTCGAGCTGGTTCTCATTCCTAATTATGTCACATTAACAATATTGAAGTGGATGGAAAATATAAATTATAAAAAGAAAATAACTGGTAAACTAATTTCTATGGGGATATATTAAATCTATTTGAATTGATCGGTTTAAATGAGGATTTTGAAAATGTCTAATGGCTAGAGTTAGTGATTGCTCATTTTGTCTAGCATAGTTTTTGAAGACCGACGGTAAAACTGTTTCATTTTGGAAAACAGACCTGTGTAGACTAGGCGGAAATGAAAGGCTGAATAAAGTTGTAGTGAGGCTCTCTCAGGCATCATGACACCGAATTGAGGATTTTGGCAGTAATTAGCGTGAAAATATCATTCAAATAAGTAATCATCTAGATATATTATAAGAGTTAAGTACGCTTGAGTTGGTTCGTTAAAGTATATAAAATTAACTATATTAAAATCAACAAGAATAAATAAAAAAAAATACATTAATTGATAATATTCTGATATTGCACACAATAAAACACTGTTTACATTCTTTTTCAATAAGAACACCGAATATTTGGATTACGCTAAGTAGGCCAACGACCAATCTCATGTCGATTCTTCATTCGTTACAAATAAACGATTAATATTATTTAAAATGTGACCATAAAACTAAAAAACTGCGTGAGTTTTGATAGAAATTGATAAATGAATGCGACATGTTCCAACATTTGAAAAGGTAATTCTGAAAGCTTTGCTATTTTACCAACACATTTATATCAACTATATCACTCTGAAAATTTTACAATTTTTAATGTAGCTACTTCAGAACTACTGAACTCATTAAAAAAAACAGGATTTTAATGCAATGCGTATGAGACTGTTACTGGCATCTGTCTAAATATTACATTTAAAATGAATACTAAAAAAACAGTAAAATAAATTTAGCGAAAATAAAATATATCTCAAGCGTCCCGTTTAATTTTTCTTTTGAAGGCATCTTTTTCGGGAGAAAGCAATCCGGCAAAAATGTGCTACATGAAATGATCGAGATTCCGTTAGGTCTCTTGCCAATTAAAATAGACTATCGAATTGTCTCTTGTTCAAGCCAGATAACGGGACATAGTCACGCTTAAGGTGATTTATATTAAAAATGTGTGTACAGAGTGAATTCAGTTTGTTAAAAAAACGTGAACAAGATTTTCGAAAATCCATGCGATTGTCATTTTTTTAAGCTATTGATATAAATAATAAAATTAATTAACTTTAATGTGTTTCGTAGCACATACTATGTGGAATATTTAATAAAGATTTTACAAGTTAAAGTAGGCCTTATTCCTTCCATTCTTCGAGAATCTATGTCGGTGTGTGTGTGTATGTGTATGTGTGTGTGTGCGTAATAAAAAAAAGAGTTGGATAAAACAAAAACGTAACTAATACGCATATCTTCATTCGAAAACAATATAAAATCAAGGCAGGTAAATAAAATAGGTACAATTTAAAGAAATATAGTGGTTATTTTGTGAACAAAAGTCTCGGTGATAATTTAAATTCGCGTACATAAAACATAAAATATTTAAAAATATATATATCGTTGAATTGGGTGAGTATTTGGATATATTTAATTGGCTTTGATTAATTGATTAATTTTTTTTTTTTTCATAAATAATTGCACATTTTTGTTTGTGATTTTAATTAAAGTATACACATTCCAATTCTGGGGGAAAAGATCAAAGACATTGTTTACACAAGAACATTTCTTGATTTGCCGTATTGCAATAAATCGCACATAACTAACGACAAAAACTCCATTCTAAACTGATATTTCACTAGAAAATCCAAAAAATGGTCCATTTTTTTTTCATTTTGAATAATACAAAATGGCAAAACGGCAAAATGATGTTTATCACAAGAGAAATAATACTTCTTTCCAACAAAATAGAAGAGCTTTTTTCATCTTAAATCGTTCTATGATGTAATATTTCCAGATTTTTATTTCGGATCTTTCCCCCCTTCAATTCCAACCAAATGCATAAATCGTCACTCTCAGTATGATAAATTTAAATTTTTATTGTTCAGTTTTTAATGATTTCATTGAAATGAATCTTAATAAATCGTGTATATATACTTATATAGCGAACTGTCAATAATTCGATCTATTTTCTAAATCCTGAAAATCGTTGCAAATTATATAATTTAAATGCAAAAAAAATATTAGCTTTTGCATAATATCAACAGATTAGTATCAATTTTTAAAATTGTCAGTTTTTAAATGTATAGGTAATTGAATTAACGGTTTGCAGAACTTAAATAGATAGCTCGGAATATAGATAGTTCGCGACAATAATGAATTAATAAAAAATCTAAAAGGCTGACCACATTTTTATTTATCTTTTGTTTGTTTGTTTTTTTTATTCATTTCTCTCTTTTTATTTCTCTCTCTCTTTCGCTCTCTCTCCCTTCATTAGTTTTAATTCATATAAAATTCCATTGTTGGCATCTGAATCAAAGTGTATCCAAAGCACTTGTGGGATTTTCCGATTACAGAAAGCGTTTCAGTGATACCGTAGTCCACGTAAAGGTGATTATATCATTCGGAAGGTCCACTTTGTGGTTGCGCCACACTAAATGTACCAGCTGCAGCAGCAGCGGCCGCGGCTGCAGCAGCAACATGCGATGCTATCGATGAACCCATTAAACTTTCAAATTTTCGTGTATCGGCTGTCGTAAGTGATGTCTCAGACGTTGTTCCCATTAAATTTTCAAATTTACGCGTGTCTGGATTGTACATTGGATGCTTGAATTTACAATGTGTGCGCAAGTTATCGCTTCTTGTATAGGTGGCACGACACAGTGGACATTCAAAACGGCCCGGAAAATGTACATGATAATGATTACGTATGTGAGTGACTACTTTCCCGCACAACTTGCAGCGATGTAAATTGCAACCGCCGGATAATCGTTCGAAGGTGAGGCGCATGTGCCAGGCCTTTGAGCCTGCGAACACAACAACAATATCCGATATTGCTTATATTTTTCATTTTACATTTCGAATGAATGGTTTTTTGTTTGTATGTTTTTTTTAAATTTTTTTTTTTTTATTTAAATTCAAATTAAATGTCACTTAGTAATCTAATCATTGATATATTTTTTTAGTTAAGGGTTTATTTATATCTGTGTATAATACATTATATAGTGTGTTATTTGAATTTTGTTTAATTAATCGCAAGTTGCTTTTCTACTATCCAAAAAAGTGTTTTGACGCTTTTGCTTTCCCATTACTAGCCACATTTTGGTTGTTGTTTAGTTAAATTTGAAACGTTCGAATGTATAAGGAAATTAATTCACGAAAATAAATTGATTGAATTTAGTTACATTATATATGCTTTTGTAATGTAGTGCATTTAATAATAGAAAGACCCAAATATAGTAATAATATAAGTATAATTTTTTCTGGATTTCTTTTATTGTTTGCCTTCATTTTCTTTCGCAAAACAACGGGATTTTTTTTTGTTGTAGAACGTGGTAACGAAAAGGATTTAAATAAATTGATTGCAGTAGTGGTGAACTACATACAGATAGAGAAAATTTAAAGTGAGAGATGAGATAATAACTAACTAAAGTGTTGAATTGATCTTTGTCATGAATATCAATTAAATAGTGCATGAAACCAATGTTTGTGAGCCAATATGGTCATATCGATCGATCAATTTAAAATATTATCACAGATGCACTGACAGAAAGCATACCGGACTTATGAGTTTATTCTAATGGGCTGTGTCCCCATCAGTAATCGTCAATATTTTTGATTTTGTGTGGACGAGATAAGTTCAAAATTAATTGGTGAATTTGCAGATGTTCTAGTAGGTTTTCTTTCAGTGCACATTTTGGATTTTCTCACGTTTTTCACCTTATAATAATAACTTTTAACCAATAGTAGTTAATGTATGTATCAAATGAATTTAATATCCTCAACCGCAAACGATTGAAACATGAATAGTTTTCTATACCATTGTTAGTGGCTGAAAGTATTTATAAATTGAGAATGAATTTGAAAACACATATTTTTTTCGTCTGACACCTTAGTGCGAGTTATAGATCTTATCGTGTGAAAGGTAATAATTTTTTCTTTAAATCGATTTGAAATTATGTGATCTAAACATATATTTTCTAGTAGGTGAAAAATGTAAGATATTTGAGAGATATTTGGCGAAAGCAAAAATATTTTAGAAATGCTAAAGACGAGCTCAAAATTTGGTTTAGACTACCTAATCAATTAATATTAGTAAGCAAGCAATAATGGGGAAGGTATCTAATACAAAGAACCCCAAACATTTCAAAAAGTGTTTCACTCTAAATGAAGGCATAAAGGAAAGCAAAGTCGCTCAATCAAATATTTTCGTTCGTTTTAAACATTTTTTCTTTCAACAACAAGACTTGAAATTTAAGTGATTTTTTTTTTCAGAATATTTTCTATATTCATTATGAACAATTTCAAAAAGTGGCCAATCATCAACGAAGAGTACTTCAAATATAAAAAGGATTCACTGTAGCCGGTAGTCATTTTAATCAATGCTGAAGTCATTGAATCTATTAGTTTAATATAGTTTGTGTTTGTGAGTAAGTTAGTCACATTTTAATTAATTTGGATAATCCATTTTCATTCAGCTTTCATTCGCAACCGTATTCCATGAATATTATTTGCATTGTACACTATCTGAACATTGTGTCATTGTCCGTACCAGACGCTAGTATATAAATATTTCATTCGCATTATTTTTGTTCTAAAGAAAAATTCAAGCAGTATATTTGAATCGAAACATTTCGTTTCTGAATATGCTCGAACAATTGCAAATAATATTGTAAAAAATGTTACGACGAAATGTTAGATCGAAAATAGATAGTCTGACGACAATAACAGTTTGAGTTCAATTACAATAATGTGAAAAAGATGAAGATGTTTCCACCATCATAAATGATGGTCTTTTTCATTTATTAGAAAATGCGTGTCCATCACAATGAAATATATTCAATAAAACCAAATTCAACATATTGTTCGTTAGCAATAAAAATAATAATAATAATGTATGAATGGAAAATTGAGATAATCAAAGGTGTATGTAAAAGCTAAAATTTAAACAATATTTAAGAAAATAGTGAATAAAGCTGCGAAAAATTAAGCACAAACATCTAATCCAAAACCCCACCAAATGAATTAAATTATTGTACACTTGTTAGACAGCTGCAACTAATACAGTGTGATTTTAAGTATTTAAGTCAAAGTTAGAATTGATTTTAATTCCGTAAATTTGTGAAAGTAAAGAATAGAACCATTTCTGGGACATTGGACAATCGTGTGAACTTATTTGTGTGTGTATGTGTGTGTGTGTGTGTATGTGTATAAGTTTTTTTTAAAGTCATTTGGATAGAAATGCATGGTTTCTCTCAATGGAACAATTCAAACTTTGCATAATATGATTTCATCAAAATAAAATTGAATCGATTTAATAATATTTTCAGCAAACTATTGCAAATCGAAATGATTTTTATTTAAAATAAAGCGGCTTAAAATTAGAACTGAAGATGTGTTCACTTTGTTACAATCAGGAAATTGAAACGAATTCGAGAAAATCTAAAAAAAAAATATTCAGAAACAAACATGATAAAAATTGAAAAGGGTTCCAATGAAATATTCATGGCTCTATATAAGTGTTTCATTCATTCGTCGAATAATATATTTGATATTTTTAATTTTATGAAAAGAATAAAAATAAAGACAACAATCAAAAACACTGGAACACAATACAACCATAATTCTCCACTGGATTGAACTCATTTCTGATGAAATCAATACTGTCGTATGTTACAAACCAACCAGAATAACCAGAGTAAACAATTTTAACTTGAGCTTCGGTCCCAAACTTGATAGAGTGCATTTGGTAGGACCCACAAGCTCACTTTTCTATATTTTCATTGCTGTCACTTTCATTTAGTTTAATATCAAAACGAGAGAGAGAGAGAATTTAATTCGTTGCCTCTGGAATTTGATGTTTTTCGAATTTTTTCTTCTTTCAAAATCGATCATTTCCGAGCATTTAATCGACTTTATGCTTCAATTTACCACAACCACATTTTCTAGCATATTCTCTTTGTCAACGTGTGCATGTGTAAGTTTATGATAAACACTCTGAATGGTCCGCTTTGATACATCGTTTGAATTTAATTCTTGGGACCGTATAGTCTAAAAGCGCAAATCCATTGTCACATTTTAATGTAAATTTAAAAGAACAATTGGGTGTGATGCATGTTGTGAAATTCAATTACAAGCAAATAAAACATGAAATGTGATTAATCGTTTCGAAGTAGATTGAAAAGAAAATAAGTTTTAACGCAATTAGTTTCGATGTATATTTTAAGATGACAGTTCTGTTGTTTTCCTCATTCTAACATTTTACAAATTCAAATCGTTATTCATTAAGGTGTAAGGTACTTTTACAGGTAAATAATGTGTAATTTTTCAGTTTTTTTTTTCTTTCTTTTCTTTAATGGCTCAATTAGGAAATGCATACAATCGTTAAATATTCAATAAATACGGATTGCTGCGTGTTGAATGCACATTGTGTTCCAAAGATGTGGGCAATATAATCGATTCAATACATTGTTGATTATAACATTATTAATAATATCACAGTGCGACTAAATGGAACATTTTTTTTGTATTGATCGCAGAGATTTGATGTGATTTGATTGAATTAGACCTCAAAAAAATCTTGAACAGGCTTTAGTTTTTATTATTATCCAATGGGAAAGTTCTGGGAGGTTGGTTTGGAGCCTCGATGTGGAGGCAATTTTTTTGGTTACTTTTTTTTTTCTACATTCTTACCACTTCTCTGGCCCAGAGCAGATGGTAGATTTTCAAATCAATTTTTTCTTAAACCTCCAAGTGAACATGTATGCATCAAAGCGGTAAAACCGAATACTGTTTTGAGCTACGGGCCTAATTCATTTAAACGATATCAAATTTCTTTGGTCAAAATTCGGGTGTCGCACAGTGAATATATTCATTGGCAAACATAGCTACATAAGGATTTAATACACTCACTTAACTGGTGTGTACAATTGTACATAAAATATCTTGAATTTTATTTTTACAATTTTCTCTTATTCTTTTTATTAATCGTATGCTCTGAGGGTAAAAGCTTATCGCATTATAATAACAGTAGACTCTCGTAAAAGTTGGCATGCATGAAAATATGCTTTTTCCAGAAATGTTGCACAATTTCTCGAAAATATGTTGGTTAACTTTTGTGAAAGTAAGTGTATTGTATTTTAACTATAAAACAATCCGAACATATCCATTTCAATTCCCGTTCGGTCAAATATTTCGCTAAAAGTCTTCAAAATTTAAACTGAAATTACTAAAAAAATATTTTCCGAAATCTAAATGGTTTCTTTTTTTATTTTGTTTTCTCTTTGCAATAAATATGTGAGATGTGCTATGCGTTTCTAATCGATGAAACATTTGAAATAATCGAGAAATTGATAAAGCCATCAACCCAGATAATACGTCATTTTAAAAGACTAGCTATTTATTTCTATAAAATAAATAGAAAAAAAAAACTTAAAATCCATTGTAATGATGATAATAATACAGGATTTGGTATTTTAAGTGCATATATTATATGTTATTATTCTTTTAGCTCGGGTAATACTTTTTTTTTAAATTCATTCACAACTAGCTTATTGGATTTCAATACAACACATTCCATCTTTATTTGAGTATTTAAATTTATAAAATTGTTTCTTCCATAGTTTTCTTACCGTTTTAATACACATTTGTCTTAGCCATATAATCTAACACTTTTAGTTATTTGCTTTTATGAAATACAACATTTATTTTTTATTTTTTTGAGTGCGTATGTAATTCTGTTGGTATGTAAAATTATTTATTTTATCTTTCATTTTAAATTCGTGTTTCAAAAACTTGGTTAAACTTC